CAGCTAAGCCCATACTCCGACCGCAACTTTGAAGTGCTCCACGGGACGTGCGCAGGTTTAAATCTGCGATGACGCATATCTCCTCCCTGAGCGCTGGGTTGGGAGATCCGGAGTTCAGCTGATGCCCCATCTCCTCTAATAACTCCGCTTGATAGGCTGTAAGGAGGGACGTCCGTTCAAAGCACAAACGGCCAGTGCAGATGATTTATAGATCTTTTGAAAAACAGAGGCGACGAAGCATTCTGTTTTCCCTGGCAGCGAGGCTCCGGTTGAAGAGAGCGCTGCCCTGCGACTTGGGTGCAAATGATTAGCCACAGATGATTCAACAGGGGGAGGATCCGCCATCCCCAAATCCTCCATTCCCTGAACATCCAGCCTCGAGAAGCCCTTGACGGGCACACGGTGGGAAAAAGGCTTGTCCCAAAACCTCTTCATTTCAGCCACACAAGCCGGGACGGCTGGAATAAACTGCCTTGCTGGAGGGAGACGTGACGGAAGCCTCTTTCCATCATACAAATCTCTTTCAGCCCCCTGATCTGCCGGTTGGGATGGCCAGTCGATCGATAGTTTAGCCGCGACAGACCTCGAGTAGATCCGTGCCCGTCTGTACAGGGGTGGGTGAACTCACATCCTGTGCACTCGGTGGACGCAACTGATTTGGGGAAAGAATAGCATCTTCATCATCCTTGTCCTCGAGGATGGCCGACAACACTTCGTCCTCGTCATCTTCCTCTCCTGCTAACGGATCTTCGAACAGCGGGGGAAGGACGGGTGACACCCTCTCCATCATCTCTCCCCACGAGCTGACGGCCTGCGGACAATCCATCGGTTCCTCTCTGGGTTGAGCAGAGAGGCATGGGTCTGACTTCCCAGCTACTGCCACGCAGAGTCTCCGCTCTCGGGTTTTAGCCGAGAACTTCGTGCAGTGAGGACAGGCCTCGGGGTTGGACAGAGCTGCCTGAGCGTGTTTAGCCCCCAAACAGGAGATGCAGAGGCCATGTGAATCCTTCGCAAAAATCCACATTCCACAAGCACACGGATGGGGAGGAAGACCTTTTCCTCCGGGGCTCTCCGGCTCTTTCGCAGTGGCCATGAGGCCTGCACTCTCTTCGTACGGTAATCCCACCACAACGTGACAACTAGGCCTGTCGCGATAATTAAATAACTGTCTAATCACGATTATTTGATCTAAAATTTGATTTGATTATTGTGCTTTTTATACGACACAAGGGGGAGTCATACACCAAAAGAAACAGAAGAGCACCAGTTTGCTTTTCATGACAATAGGCTACATCAGGTTCCCAATTCCAGCCCATGTTCCGAATTGAAGTAAACTTCAACGGATTTCCCCTGCTCAGGGAGTAGGGAGCAATGAACTCTGTGTAGGGATCATATCGATCGGAACACAGTTCATGCACGTAGCTCTTCTAACGAGCTGGTTATCTGAATCGTGAGGACTGGAATTGGGAACCACTGGGCTACATCATGTGTCATTCACCGGTGAGAAAACTTTAAAAGTATTACAATACCAGGAGGGAAGATCGGGTTGTTGATCTTTGTCTGCCATTCTCGCTCTGTCTGCACAGCGTGCGTGAACATGCTGATGACGCATCCTGTCTGCGCGAACCGGGTGCGCAGGGGTATGCTAATACATACGTTTACAGGCAGGTAGGAAAGCCAATTAAAACGCTTGGACCGAGTGTTTTGATTGGACGAACATTTCTTGGTCCTATGCCTTCCACAGAATATATAAATACAGATAAATACATTTAGACCACTTAACTTAATGATTGCTATCGGGATGTGAAGATACTTTCAACCAGCATAACAAAAAATGTTTCTGAAGACAATCACCTATTGCACCTTTAAATATTCATCTGTACTTCACATTGAACTATGGAACGGTCTCAGAACACCTGAAATATAGTGCAAGGAAACTTTATGGTGCTCTATAATGATTTTGTGCCTTTCGTGGGGCTTAACAATAATACAGAATAGTATACACACAATATCGGATTTGGATCGGTCTCGTCTGACCGATACCCCGATCCAGCAGAAAATGCCAGTATCTTAGCGATACCGATACTGAATATCAGATCGGCGGACCCCTACAAAAAACTGAATGAAATCTGTGCTACATGACTAGAAATGACTAGAAAACAAAGGAAAAGGGATCCGGCGTTCCGTTTTGTCAAAAACATCAACACTCATAATGCACTTTAGATCCTGACACTGCCCTCTGTTGATCCGACTGTCCATGAGCAGGAATACAAAATGTGAAAGTTCGATCTGTAGTTTTAACCAAAAGCCTGGAGCTCTCGAAAGCAGGATAGTGCAAAATGGCCCGCTTCACATCATCCAGTAGACTGACAAATAGACAGGGATATACGGGTGCAGCTAACATAAAGGACACAGAAAAACTGAAAAAATAGAAAATAGATAGAACAATATACACAAAATGTGTGATGATTCACACCAAAAACCATACTTACAATATTAACTATATTAGTGTCCATACTAATAAACGATAACATTATATTTAATCTTATTTAAGAGTGGGCTTTACTCATAGAATGTTTTGTGAATGTGATGTCAGCATACACTTTAAAGTAGGAACAATTTTGTTTAGCTGTCAATGTTTTTTTCATTCATCAGATAGAAAAAAAGCTCTGAAAGTGATTCCAACGATATTGTTTCTCTGTTATAATAATTTTTTTGTGTGGATGCCACTATTCTCTTAGAGTTATAACGTTTTTTTTTTTTACTTTATGGTTATAGTTATCGTTTTATTTTAATTATATTGCTGGAATCGCTTTCAGAAGGATGTTTTCCAGTTGATGAATGATAAGTTATTATTAAAGCTATCGTTTTAGGTGTGAATGAGCCATAAGAACTGATTATTTCACAGACATAACTAAGTGCATCAAACAAATCACTTTCAATGGCTTGATGCCAATATCACAATACCAATGCAATGAGTGCTTTTGAGTAGTTCTTCATCAAAAATGCTTATTTTACCAACCTAATTTGTGTTCATCACATTACACCAGCTAAAAATAAACCATGGTTCATATGACCCATTTCTACACTGACATGAAATACTGCCACAGATTGTCGCCATTTAAAGGTCCCATATTGTACACCTTTCTGGAGTTTTATTTTAGGTTTTGATGTCCTTAAGAATATATATTTGCGGTATAAGTACCAAAAACCATCTCAATATATTTTTACAGCTTTTCTCTCAGGAGCTCTGCTGAGAACAGGTCGATTTTGGCCTGTCTAATTAATATTCATGAGCCTCTCTTCTGATTGGCCAGTTGTTTTCTGAGTGACGCACGGCCAGGCCAACCACAGCTAACTAGGGTCAGCCGACGTCACAGCGCTAGCTGGAAGCAGCCCATTCAAACCAGCGCAGATGCGGCTACACGAGGAGCTTAAAATATCATCTTGTTGTGATGTTGGGTGCCAGAATCGACGTAATACAGCCTCAAATTAGAAATTTGATCGCATATCTGCTGCCACTGCCAGACAAAAAAACCGACGACAGCTGTGGTTAAACACGATAAAACGAGCAGACTGGACAGAAACGATAGTCAAAAATGCTTGCATTTGCAGCGCACACTTCTTATCAGAAAAGGTTCAATAAAGTATTGTCTTTTGTTGTTATGGGCGCGTCTACAGATTTCTTGCCATATGTCTATGTTTCTTGCATCTCACGACTATGTCGTGTATGAAATAATGTCTGTGCATGTGTATAAAACAACAAACTGACAATTTATATATAATCATTTGTAATTGTATATACATTGTTGTGATTAATTGTGGCCGGAACAATAATGTAGCTGTAAAAATAGTTGCCTGCTGAAATTGAAATGTATATACATCTTCATCATACATAGACACGGTGAGTTTGTCTTTACTATACACGTTAGATGTGATCCACCTCATAGTAACAATCCTGTCAGATCGTCCATCCTTTGAGTGAGAGTGTAACGTTACAGGTCGGCCGATCTGGTTTCGTAGTTAAAGTTAACCTTTTCGACATGTTTCCGTGAAGCCAAAAGCTGCGTGTTTGTAAGAAACAAATCCGTCTCAAAAACGTTTTTAGTCCATAATTCATAATAACACTTCCTGAAGTGTAAAAATCCATCTCCTGTTATCCTCTCACATTAAAATCCACCCACAAATTTGTTTAGGACTGTTTTGGACTCTTTTCACTTGTAAATGGTGCTTGATCTGCATATTTCTCTCCTGATTCAGCTAAAACAACTTTTTCACTGGAGAAAGCAATATTATGGAGAGAGGACTCGTATTTTAGCTGGAAGCAACAGTTTAAAACAGTCTTGATGGATTTCTTACAAACACGCAGCTTTTGGCTTCACAAGTCATTAACTGATGGACTGGAGTGGTGTGGATTACTTGTGGATTATTGTGATGTTTTTATCAGCTGTTTGGACTCTCATTCTGACGGCACCCATTCACTGCAGAGCATCCACTGGTGAGCAAGTGATGCAATGCTACATTTCTCCAGATCTGATGAAGAAACAAACTCATCTACATCTTGGATGGCCTGAGGGTGAGGACATTTTCAGCAAATTTTCATTTTTAGGTGAACTATCCCTTTAACGTACGGTACATTACATCCACTTGAATATATTGAATGAGTTTTTATTAAGCCAGCCACAGAGTATATTAAAGTGGTCTAGCACTCACCTCTCTGTATGGTAACATGGCAGATGACACAAACCCTGGCTTCTTTGTCCAGATATTTCAGTCTGCATTTGCGGTTGCAGCAGTTAGCACAGTACACCTGCAAAGCAGACAACATTATTCACTCAAACACTGGATAAACACAGTACTTCATCAGACATAAACCTGGATAAAACTCTCTGGTGTCCTTTAGCCCATTTAATTTATTGGCCCAATATGTCTTGGAAACAGCAACTCAGTGCAGCAATTCAACCGGGGAAACTATATCAGCACTAAAAATACATTCTGCTGACCCGGCAAATCTGCCTCTATATTTAGCATCTCCAGAGCAGAATAAACCACACACTGACGTAATGAAAACAAAAGACCTCGCACCCATAGATAAAATGAGGACTTTTGCTGTCTAAGGCAGTGGACTACAGGTTTAAGGCTTTCCTGAAGTTATAAATAAATTAGAACACAATGGCAGGACTGTGTCACAGACCTCTGCTCGAAATCAACGCAGCTGGCAGCATGTTAATTCATTGATTCACACTGCGGTTATTTGCCTTTCACCTCCAAACGTCAGGGCACACTTATCTAATACACAAAGTTACAAAGTCACTTTCAGAACTGAAGCAAACGTATTACTAAGACTCTAATTAAGTTCATTTATGCAAAATACACCATGACAGGGTGATCAGGATCCAAATGTAAAAGGGTTTATTTTGAAATAATGATCATCTGACTGTACTTATCTTGCTTATTTTGAGGATACTTACCCGATAAATAATAAATGGACATGAAATATTGATCAGAGTTGAAACTATTTTGTTATGTGAGAAGAAAGAGTGCAGAGTAACATAGTAAACAAGAAAATCGCCTCCCTGGGACAATGGTCAATTATACAATTTAAATGCAAATAAAATAAAATAAAAGTTTGGGGTCGGTGAGATTTTTTTTAATGTATAATATATTTGTGTTATATTTTTTTATAATAATGTATAGGTAAAAATCACTCATGGTTCAGTTTGTATCATGCTTCTGTGGCCACAGGTTTGGTTCAAAATATGCATGCACTAATTAGATTGATTTGAGACAGATATAAATAACCAATATTGTAACAATATTCTGTTTTTTTTGTTTTTGTTTTTTAAAGAGGCCCTTTTACCGGATGTTTACATACATCCACGTTTACATAAAACCAGCCATATGGTGCAGTAAAATACATCCTAGTACTACTGCAGTTAATTACTATTATTATAAATGTATTATATAAAAAAAATATATATATATATATAATAATAATATAATATTAAATATATAACTACTAAAGTTTAAAAGTTTGGGGTCGGAAATATTTTTTAATGTTTTTGAAAGAAGACTCTTCTGCTCAACAAGGCTCATTTATTTGATCAAAAATACAGTAAAAACAGTAATATTGTGAAATATTACTACGGTTTAAAATATCTGTTCAAATTTCAAATAGAAATTTGAATATCTGTTAAACTGTAATTTATTTCTGTGATCAAAGCTGAATTGTCAGCATCATTACTCCAGTCTTCAGTGTCACATGATCATTCAGAAATCATTCTAATATGCTGATTTGCTGCTGAAGAAACATTTATTATTATCATTGTTGAAAACATGCATCTTATTTTTTATTTTTCAAGATTCTTTGATGAATAGAAAAAAAACAGCATTTATTTGAAACACAAATCTTTTGTAACCTTATGGTCACTTTTGATCAATTTAATGCCATCATGCTCTTTAAGGTCACAAAACTCTGGACTTTTAGTAGTACCTAGGATATCTAAGTCTTCCTGATAATGTCCGAGGCTCAAACACACACTCTCTGTTTAAATTTAGATTAAAGACACATCTCTTCAGCCAAGCATTCGCATAATGAATCTCAATCTCACCCTTGTTCCCAGTTAGATGTGATAAAAGTCACAAACATATTTTTTTGCTTGAAACGTTATGAACAGCAGTTACACTAATTCTTTTCCATTTGTCTTTCTGTTTCTACCCCGGGATGCCCATCTCGAGGTATCTAGAGATTACACCAGCTCCAGCGTGGATCCAGCCTCATAGAAAGACTTCAGATGACCCCAACACCTGTGAAGAGATGATGCTGACCCCTGCGAGGACCCCAGATGACCCCAACTTGAATCGACATGCACAACTGCCAAAATTTCTCTATATTGTAATCATTATGATCACACTTGTAATAATCGCTTTAATGAGCTTCTGCCTAAAATTAATTCATGTTAGCTAGCGGTATGATTATATTATCTTGAACTGCTCATTTGTGAAATGAACATTACTTGGACACATTCACTTCTGCTTTGTAATGTAGACAAATGCATTTTCCGTAAAGCTGCTTTGAAACAATGTGTATTGTGAAAAGCGCTACACAAATAAATTTGAATTGAATTAATGCATGCTTGCAGAATAAAAGCATTAATTTCTTACAAAATAAATCGCACTGACCCCAGACTATTTTTGCTTTAATATTTTCCAAATAATTGTGGATACTGACACTGAGAGACAACAAACTTACCTTCCCACATGCTCTGCAATGGTGTCTCCTCTTGGTAAAGGTAAACTTTTGCTCACAATTCATGCAGTTAGGAGCCTCGGAGTCTGGCACCCAAGGAGGCTGCTTTGACCCCAGACCCTCGACCTCGTGTGCTGGTGGATCAGGACTCTCTCCTGGGTATGGTGGAGGCTCGGAAAGCTCATCATGGCCATAACTGGCATCATATTGCTGATAAGAATAGTTATATTCACAGTTATTTTCATCTTGGTTGGGAGAAATTTGCGAGTCATGCTCTGCAGAAAGGCCTGCTACATTGGGTTCAGCATGGCCGGTCCGGTGTCTTTCAGATGGAGGCCGTGCGGTTTGGTTGGATAACTGCTTTGGTCTCGCCCCGCCGTAATTTGACTCTTGGTTGGGGGCACAAACTGACTGAATCTCAACAGGGCTGGTTGCATTCTCATGGATAATAGTTTGTGTGGAGTCTGTCCTCAGCGGGCTGCTGTCCTGAGATGAAGAAGAAACGCTAGAACCTTCGCTCTCCTCCAGATATTGAAGTGAACCATCACTCTCAGGAGAAGCAAACGTCTCGACTTTACAGCTCTGCAGCTCCTCATCTAAAAAGCCTTCCACGTTTCCGTTAAATTCTGAAAAGCTGTCATCTACGAATTTGTCTGCGCCTGCGTCGGAATTGATTTTCACATCCTGACCCATCAGAAAGGCGTCCAGCTCCTCGTCCGTAACCATCATAACGGTCTGGTCGCTTTCAGGAAGGTAATCGTTGGCGATACTGAACTCATAGGAAAAATTTGGGCTTTCTGAATAGGGCGGAGATGGGTTGCTTTCACACAACTCTTTCTCTGTTGGCGACAAGTTGCGCTTAAAGTTTCTTTCAGGGTAATGGCCCGAGACAGCAGTTGCCCTTTCTGTGTTCGACATGATTTGGACTAGCTCAGGTTCATCTTCAGGTGAGGAATCAGGCCTATTGGAGGAGAACGGTGTTGTGGGTTCTTCTAACGGAAGAATGAACTCTTCAGCCTCTTGAATCGCTGAATTTTTTTCCAGTTCAGCCTCATCTTTGGTTTCAATCACTGCTGTCTGTGGGTCTAAAGACGCCACAAGGGATCCACACATAGATACGGCCATTGGCAAGCAAGAGAGAGAAGGTTCCTTCTCCAAGGAGGGACTTCCAGCTGAATCCTCTGGAGTTTTAACACTGAGATCTTCAGACAGTTGGGTATCTGTTGAGTCCGGCTGGAGCGATACAGCATGCTCTTCTTTGGTTGCTGAAATAGCTTCATCTGTAGCATGAGGATCTGAATTACTAACATCGTCCTCGTTCACTGAGACTTCGCATGGAGAATTGTTCTGATCATTGGCGTTTGAGTCTTCAGGACAAGAACTTTCAATCTGATTGCACTCCAAAGGTGTGATGCTACTTGAACCATGAGGGTCACCAACGGCCGGTAATATGACATCCAGCAGGCTGAATGAGTTATAGTTAACCTCAGAGTCAAGATTTGGTAATTCACCGGCGTTAGAAGCATCTTCTGGACTAGATACTACAGGACTCTCGAAGTCCACTAGCAGCACCTCATTAGTTTGTTTCTCAGGAACATCCAGCTCTTTAAAGTCCTCCTGACTGTCAGCCTGCTGGAGGTTTGCAGAACCCGTATCATTCACCAGGTCACACACAGGCTTCAGCGACCGGTCCGGACAAGGCGGAGCTGAACTTTTGATGCCTCTGCTATCGACAGAGGACAGAAGATCCACACCTGTGAGCGGCCGTTCATTTGAATAAGAATCTTTTTGGTTTAAAGTAATACTTTGTGATGTAAGTCCATAGTGCAGGGCATTGACATCTGGGAGTGTTTGTGTAACTGTGTGTTGCTCTGGTATGAAGCTCTGAAGGTCCAAATGGTGACCAGGGATGATCGTGGAGTCCGGACAAGGAGCGCTTGCAAAAGTGGCGGGCTTGTTCTCAAGCTCCTCTGAAAATAAAGTGAAACATCATATTAATTTATAATATAGCTTACATGACAACATCAACCATAATAAAATATCCAAATAAATATAAAATCATAAAACTGACAAACTTTAAAATCAGACAACATATACAGTATATATTGTTGCGCATATTCAATATTATATATAACCTATGTCATATATGTGATTTGAATTTTCCATTCAAAGAATCCTGAAAAAAATGTATCACCGTTTTCAACATTGATGATAATAATAAGAACAATTATTAATAATTGAGCACCGATAATAACTAATAATAATTTAGCAGCAAATTAGCATATTTCTGAATGATCATGTGACATTCAAGACTGGAGTAATGATGCTGAAAATTCAGCTTTGCCATCAAAAGAACAAATTTGAATTTTAAAATATATTCAGATAGAAAACAATTATTTAAAATTTTTATAATATTTCAACAATTTTCAAAAACATTAAAAAAAATACAATTTCCAAACTTTTGACCCGTAGTATATAGCACACACACTAAATTTGTGACCCTGGAGCACAAAAGCAGTCTTAAGTCGCTGGGGTATATTTGTAGCAATAGCCAAAAATACATTGTATGGGTCAAAATTATAGATTTTTCTTTCATGCCAAAAATCATTAGGTTATTAAGTAAAGATCATGTTCCATGAAGATAGTTTGTAAATGTCCTACCGTAAATGTATCAAAACTTAATTTTTGATTAGTAATATGCATTGCTAAGAGCTTCATTTGGACAGATGTAAAGGCAATTTTCTCAATATTTTGATTTTTTTGCACCCTCAGATTCCAGATTTTCAAATAGTTGTATCTCAGCCAAATATTGTCCTATCCTAACAAACCATACATCAATGGAAATCTTATTTATTCAGCTTTCAGATGATGCATAATTCTCAATTTCGAAGAATTGACCGTTATGACTGGTTTTGTGGTCCAGGGTCACATTTAAGTTAAGCAACCAACATGATATCATAAATCTTATGACAAACTATAGGATATATACATATTATATAGAACGTATGATCAACTAATTGAATGGCAAAATTTACATTAATTCACCCTAAATTGAGAAGTGCAAAATTCATATTTGCCACACTATTATATCAGTAAAGTAAAAAGTCTCAAACCTGCGTTGAGCTCAAAGTCATCCAAAAGCTTGTCCAGGTCGCACACAGCAGCCTTAAAATAACTGTCCATCCTAGGACGGGGTACGATACACCTCACTTACCCCTGCAGAGAAACTGGGGCAGTTGGGACAGAAAGTTACAAATCACACATTTTTTACAAATATAACATTTCTATGTCTTAGGAATCTAACTAGGGAATACTTGGTAGTTACTGACAGTAATAGACAAAATAATAAGAATCAAAGAGACAAGCTGTTCTCAATGATTTAGTACAAATAAGTAAAAAGTGGGGACAAATATATATGGCTATTACAGTTGGGACAGAAAGATAAAAATTTAAGTTTTTCCAAATATAAATTTCTCCTTCTTAGGAATCTAACCAGGGAGTCTGACTTAGTAGTTACTGACAGTGATAGACAAAATAAGAAACAAATAGACAAGCTGTTCTCAATACTTAAATACTAAAAAGTGGGGACAAATATGTACGGCTATTATTTAATATTCAATATTTGTATAATTGCAAGATTGAATATTTTCAACATCTGAATTCACAGTAACTTGTTCAGATGTTTAGTTTGCTGTGATTTACTGTGAAGTGAAAAGTGGAAGTGTGATTTCACCAGGTTTACAGTCCAAATCACAGATTTGACAAAGAACACATTGTAAACAGCAATACATTATAAAGAACCTATAAATACAAAAACAATATAATGAATTAATACACTCAGAATATGGTACCTATCTGAGATTTCTCTGTCATGAGCTATGACATCAACCTTTGTTTCGAAAGGGTTGTTAATTATTCATCTAAATGAACACTTAGTGCTTATTAGTCTTATTATTTTCAATATTAATAATAACACCATAATTTGGCTAAGATAAAGAGTCTATAATTAGCTATATTAATGTCATTTACCTACTCACTGTCAAAAACTAATAAAGCACTCCATTCAAACCAAATAAAGGTTTCTTAACGTCAACCCTAAAATATCAAAAATAAACAGTAACTTATTATTTTCATAAAGTTATATTAGCTGTTCGGTTATCATTAGCAATCTGCTAACTAGCTTCTAGCTGTTAGCGTCTAATCACACACAAACATAAATACAACCCCGGTAACAGTAATATTATATTTTATGATATCATTCCGCTTCATTATCTACCTTAATGTGTGTCATTGTTCAGTCGCCTTCGTTTCTTGGCTGTATTCAGATGAAATGTTAGTGTATTTTACTGTTAGCAGCTAGCTAATGTCTTCTTTTTCCTCAGTAAATTCCACAGTCGACTGAGCGAGCTACCATTTCCACCCGGCGCTGTTTAAAGGGGACGCGCACTATTTTTGACTGAATTGCCTTAAGCCAGGGTAGCATCATATCCTGAGAACCAGAAAAAAACGTTTTGTGAATTTTGTTGTGCGTTTTTTTTTTAATGTCATTACATTAATTGGAGCATAAGAAACAAATTATAATTTTTTTTTAATTTTTCATATTTTATTCTATGTCCTTTGTAGAGGACGTCAGGACTAAGTTATTCAAATAAATAAATAAATAGACATGAAAAGGCATGTATATGCAAAAACAATGTTTTATTTTTTTTCATTCACCAATCAGTTTTTAGGTTTCAGGCTATTTTTAGTCAAACTTTGTACAAAGATGATTCTCAACTATGTTATGAAAGATATAACAGAATGATTTGATATACTTTTGTACTTTATGGAATATGTGTGAAAAATGTCCATAAATTGGTATTCCCATTCTATACAATGTATCCATAAATTGCATCTAATTTGTATATTAATGTGTTCTTGGGGCAAACCATAAGTGTAATAATGGGAGTAATAATTTGGCAACATTTTCATAAGAATATCTCATATTTCATGGGAATATTGATCTATAATTTCTTTCCCTATTGACTTGTTGTGTTTCCCCAAGATGCCTGATTAACATGATGTTTGTCCTGGTGTCCTCTTCAGAAGACATGCATGAAAATTACGCCTTGTTTCGTAACAAAAAGTCATATTCCGCTTTGAAACCCCATAACATTTTTCTGAGAAAAAAACAATTTGAAAATTATACAGGTTTAAATGATAATTACAAACCATTATCATATTTCTTAAGAGTACTAAATTTGAACATTCTGTCAATATCGGTCATATTTAAAGAACAAGGAGAAAGTTTGTTTATGATCAAACCTCCAAACATTTGATATCTCTGAAAAGCCCCGAATGTGCTCTGTACAGGACATCCAGACTTCAAACTGTGGCATGTTGGGTCTCAGAGAAATTCACTAAAATATAATGTCCTTTAAGTCACATGACATTTGAATGTCCGTCCACAACTCTTTTTCCCAGCCCTGTCACCCTCACACGGAAGACACCTGTTGAAGTGCTCCAGAAATTGCTCTATCAACATAATTTCTAAACATCTCTTCTCAAGAGGGATTTTTGCAGCATCGTTCTTAAGTAATTTAGATATTTTTATTCACAATTTAACTTTGTCTAACATAGTTTTACTGTAAATTGCAAAAATATCAATGTTTCCATATTACCACGGTGGAATTGTAGTAATGTATTTCCCCATTGGGATTTTTTATAGATAGTAGCATCAATAGTATGATTGCAGTTATTTATTTATTTGAAATGTTTATTGTAGTATAGTTGTATTTATGTATAAATAACAAAATTATTTCTTCTTTTCAGAAAATGAAAACAGCAATATTTTACGGAAAGGCCAGTAAGGAAGAGTGCAGAGATACTGTAGCTCTTCCATGTGATGAGAGCAAGGATGAGTTTGCCTTCAGCGAAGGTTAAATGATAGGGATCTACTTATTTTGGGTTTGCATGAGTTCCTTCCGAGTATATAACTCTATCAATTTCTAAAAGAAATGTGCATTTAAATAGAAAAGAAAATCGTTTCCCTAAGTACCCCTTCCAAAAATCTTTTTTTTTTTTTTTTAAATCTGTTTTGATTTGTATCATATGATTGAAGCGATTTCATGTAATAAAAACTTATTTGAAAAAATATTTCATGGTTAGAACATAATGCATACCTAATGCATATCTTATGTATGTGAATGATACAGAAAACATTATAAGGGAATTCCAGCTAACAACGTTTTCTAATGTTCCCATTAAAGGGGTCATATGATGTTGCTAAAAAGAACATTATTTTGTGTATTTGGTGTAATGAAATGTGTTTATGCGGTTTAAGGTTAAAAAAACACATTATTTCCCACATACTGTACATTATTGTTTCTCCTTGGCATCAACAATAAAGTTACACCTTCTTTTTTTGCGTGAACATTTGGGCGACGTTATGCAAATCTTCCCACACAGTGATGTAGACATGTGGGGGCGTGTTTAAACGAGGCGTTTTAGGAGGGCTTAACTTTTAAGGGCTTCTTAACTTTTATTAAGAATATCTCTTTGGGTTTGAGACTTTAGTCTTTGCAACTTTAGGGATCTTATCTATTTACGAACAGCTTGTAACACTCCAAAGAGAAAGGAAAACTTGAAATCGCATCATATGACCCCTTTAAGAAAACATTATTTCTGGATGTTCTCTGAAATGTCTAGTTTTTTTTTAATGTTTTAAAAGCGTTATTTTTCTTGGTTATGCGAATGTTAAGCCAACATTTCATTTCATCATTCTGCAAACATTATGAGAGCATTACTTTTGAATGTTCTCTATACATTCTGAAACAACTAGTAACATTAATATATGTTAAAAAAATATTAGACAAACATCCAACTAAAACGTTTCTAAAAAAAAAAAATGTTCCATGTATAAATGTTTTTGTGCTAATGTTTTGAGAAGATTATTAAAAAACTTCATATGAACATTCTATTAATGTTACTGGAAGAACATTTGTTCATAATGTTCATACCGTTAGCCAAAGTTCTGTTCCCTGCTATAGCTGGGATAATATTTCAAAATATAAAATTAAAAGTTAGTCCTTAAGATTATTCTGTTACTGAAAGAGTTCCTATTCATAGTTAATTATTGCCATGAGAAGGTGAGGCGGACCATAAAAAGACATCATAGTTTGCTAAATCAGTTATGCAGCTCAATACCAGTGTGTGTATTTAGCAGTATGACACAAGAAGGGTGTCGTTATGTTTATTACTCATCATATTCATTTGAAGTACAAGTAACTAATACTTTTCAAACTAACCTTCTTCAACTTCAGCTCGAGAAATAGTTTTGTTTTCACCTGAACAATCCTACATCCTTGTTTTAAAGCATATTTCCACATATTCTTCCTCTGTATGCTTCTTTAGTTCCTCAACTTACTGAATAAAAACTGCTTTCCGTCTGTCAACTGAAAGTCATTGTCTCTTTGAATTTCAGGTTTGATCAAAAGATGTTTGGAGATGAATCACACTGACTGCACATGCAGAGATAACTCGTTTACTCAGTAAACACAGCATTTTGTTTTTCCCAGCAAATGATGCAGAGTAAGCAAAATGTGACTGCACAATACTGATGATTTGCAAATATGTCAATCACAGAAATCTAGGTCAGTAAAGACAACACCACAGTAAAAAAAAAAAAAAAAACATGGTATAGCCTACTTTGTAGTAGCATGAGGAACACCATCCACAACATGACACTCCCCATATCCACCCTCTGGTTTGATCATAAATGACATCTTTATAGTGAAGAGGAACCACAAACTCTTCCTGAAGTGAGTCACATCAGTGAGTTATTCAAAATATATCTTATTTAATATTGTCCTTATTCCCAGTTTGCACTATTATTACTTCTTTACTTTAACAATTACTTCAGTATTGTATTATTCTATTATGTACACCAATATATTATTCTTAAAATATATATATATATACCTGTCCTGTCCATGATAAAGATCATGCAAATGATGTCACCTGGGAGTCTGCGCACATTCGTCACCAGTTTCAGTCCATGTCGTCATCGCGCTTACAGCCTGTGAGAAGAAGAAAGAAGTTTCTGACAACAGCTTTAACAACATTTGACAACAGTTTTATCTCCCTCTTCAGGTAATGTCTTCAAGTCTCTGCTGACGTCACACGCTGGGATAGGCTGCGTCACGTGGTACAACTTTCCAAACCTGAGTGTTTCCCGAAAAAAAATGTGGAGAAACAAAACCCTGGAAAAGGTAAGACGAAATCATCCTTGAAGTATATTATATGATCTTTATGTATAATACCCTTATATAGTAAAACCAAACCGCATTTCTAAGGATGTGGTCGCTGTTGTTTTATTAGAAACACATCTGTCTGTTTGTCAGTGCTGTTGTTGTCATGTCGTTTAGTTGCAGTTTACTAAACGTTCTTATGCTTTATATTTCAAACAAGTCTTAGATAAAGCAGAGATCTTAGTTTCGGGAGGAGATCTACGCACAATTTAGGATAAATGGCAATCATTTAAACTTCGTTGACCTGTTGATCCCGCAGTGTTTTTCTTTGGCGCGTGTTCACGCGGTGCAACATTGTTTCAGTTTAGCATGGAATGTATCGAATCATTGTAGAATTTTTGGCGCGGACATATTGTATTATTCACTACTGGCAGTGTTGGGGAAAGTTACTTTTAAAAGTAATGCATTACAATATTGCGTTACTCCATAAAAATGTAACTAATTACGTTACTTAGTTACTTTTTATGGAAAGTAATGCGTTACGTTACTTTTGCGTTACTTTTCAAATCTGGACAGGGCTTGCTTGTTTGTTTTTAAAATAAAAAAGTTATATTTTTGGCAAATATTTTTTTAACGTAATTTAAGTGAGATGAATTAGTGCATATTCATATTTATTTTAGAACTACCGTAACAACATCTGATTTCTCTCAGCATGGGGACAGGAGAGCTGTCAATCACTAAATTGGAAAAAAAAGTAACTTGCGTTACTTATTTGAAAAAGTAACTCAGATATTCTCTTGTAAATTAAAAAGTAATGCGTTACTTTACTAGTTACTTGAAAAAAGTAATCTGATTACGTAACTCGTGTTACTTGTAATGCGTTACCCCCAACACTGACTACTGGTAATTAGTTACATTGTTGAATTGCTGCCAGCAACCCACAAAAAAACCATTAGCATGTACTATGGTATTTATATCTCATACATATATTTACCATGGTCAAGAAACATGGCATTACTTTGGTACCTTTTAGTACTTTTAATGGCGTAGATACAGGTATTTTTGGCTCTTCATGAATGTGTTGATTTCTTTTATTGATATAATCCCTTCTTGTTACTGTCTTTCAGGCCTTTGGATTCACATATATCATTTGAGGTTTTACACACTGAACTCAAGCCCAATGTAAGTCTTGCTCAGTGACTGCGTGTGAAAGGTATTCCATAAAAATGTCTTGTTCTTTCTCATTCGTAATACTTTTCTCTTGTTGTTTCATTAGGTAAACTATGCTTAAGGAAGAACGTAACATGCAGATGATTGTTTTCTTTATTTTATGCTGTTGACGCAGCATTAGTAGTCTGTGATTGCCCAATCAGACGTCTAGTTCTTGAACAGGCATGCTCATTTCTGTCTCTGTGGTTGTCTTGATTCTATCTATATCGTAAATGTTTGGGTTGCAGTCGTATCTTCAGTGGGTTTAGAGTTAACGCTCTTGCTAGTGGATGACGGGTTACTCTTACAGTCGCTGCTATGTTCAGGTTACAAAGTTGGACCGCCTGACCTGGGGAGCACCTGTGTCCGAGAACATATATTGTACATAGATCAATATAAACATTTATCACACATCTTTGGAATACTTTTTTAATCGTAGCATTAAATGGTCAAATATTTTTTTTAATAAAGTGTATGATTGTCCCACAAAATAGTTCTAGTTTCTGAATCTACATTATTACTTAAATATTGCTTACACATACTCTATATATAATTCTATTTAGCAAATTCACTTATTCATCCTTTAAGACACTGTTGCTTCCAAGGTGTTTGTTTCTTGTACCTCTACCTGGTATCCCGAATGGTGATTATTTGTGTCGATAGCCTCTTATCTGCTTTGGAGAAGGGTTTTTTGCATAATGTCTTCATTCTTTTGCTTTTTCTTGCACTCTTTTCACTTGTATAGAGGCGTTTCTAGCTCCGTAAGTGGATGAAATCGTCAAGATTTATCTTAGTAAAAAACAACAATTTTGCATACTTTGCTACAGTTTCTGTCATATTTACGTGTTCTAGCACACAATATATCTGCTCTACAATAGCAGTTCTCAACTGGTTTTTCTTTAGGGCATAGATTTTACATTGCACGTTTACTGATGACCCAAAACTGTACCATAATTGATATATAAGTACACTCTAAAAAATGCTGGGTTGTTTCAACCCAACTTTGGGTCAAATATGGACTAACCCAACTATTGGGTTAATTTTTAAAATTGTTAAAAAAAATGTAAATTTTTAACCCAAAAGTTGGGTTAGTCCATATTTGACCCAAAGTTGGGTTGAAACAACCCAGCATTTTTTAGAGTGCAAGTAAAAATGTATTTAATATCAAACAATGTTTGACTGGATGCACTGACTTACTTTGATGTAAACAACAAAGGTTTTGGGAATCAGAAAGCTTCTATTTAAAAGTTGATAAAACTACTTATTTGTTTTCTTAACTTTGCAAAACTGTTGAGGAGGTTTGACTCCAAAAAATTAATAAAACAAATCTCAAACTTTAGAAGTAAAGTGCAGTGCTCACTCTACAAACTATGCTTAATTATAGTCAGTTGCATTGTTCAGAACAGACATATGACCAATGTTTGGGTCACAAACTACCAGTTGAGAACCACTACTCTAGAAGAACTAAAACCAGTTTCCTAGATCTTTTCCTAAGCCTTTTTACTTCATGTTCCTTTAGGGATAATGGCATATTCTGGAGGAGACACTATTCGTCATTGTCTATAATAATGGTTTTCAACTGGTTTTGCTTCAGGACCAATGCACATCAACTGATGACCCAAAACTGTGCCATAATTTGTATAGAAGTAAGCAAAAATCTATTTAATATCAAACGGTGTTTGCATTTCCTTTGAAGTCAACAACAAAGGTTATGGGAATCAGGAATTTTGGGTCACGAACCACCAGTTGAAAACCACTAATCTACAAGAACTAAACCCAGTTTTCTAGATCTTTTCTTTAAGCCTTTTTACTTCATGTTCCTCTAGGGATAATTTATATATTCTAGAGGAGACTCCATTCGGCGTGTCCGAAACATGCCCCACTACAACGATGTACGCACAGGTTCGCTTCCGAGTCTTCACGGATTGACTGATCACAAGACATCTGACTCTTTATGCTCCGAACCTCTTCCACCACCTCCCCTACCGGACCAACCACCGATAGGCCCCAAGTTTGACCCCAGCGGTAGCGAGGACAACGAGGACTCTGCCCTCGACATCAAACCTGTCCACCGTTTCATCCCAGACAAATGGAAGAACTTCTTCAGGTCCAGCAGCGGAAGCAGCAAGTTGAAGTCAATGTTGGGCTCGAGCAGCAAGAACACGACCACTGACGGCGTTCGTTGTTCTCCACCGCAATCACCATCGGTTCCCGGTTCCTACCGCGACCCGTACGGCGGATCCGGAGGCAGTTATAACTCATGTAAAGAGCGCGAAGCAATGCTGTTGGGGAACCCTGTGGAGTCCATTGATGGGCATACGGTGCACACAGCTTTGACATACAGCGAAAAAGTTGAGGAATACAACCAGCGCTACGCCTACATGAAGTCTTGGGCTGGACTTTTACGTATTCTTGGTTGCGTCGAGCTGCTTCTTGGAGCAGCGATTTTTGCATGCGTTTGTGCTTACATTCATAAAGACAATGAGTGGTATAACATTTTCGGATACTCGCAGCATGGTGGGTTTTACGGAGGAGGTTACAGCGGCTCTTACGGAGGAGGCGCTTACGGCAATGCCAACTACACCGGACCCAAGACGCCATTCATCCTAGTGGTGGCGGGATTGGCGTGGATAGTGACCGTAATCATACTTGTCTTGGGAATGACCATGTACTATCGAACTATCCTTCTAGACTCAAGTTGGTGGCCTTTAACAGAGTTCTTCATAAACCTGACTCTTGCAGTCCTGTTTTTGGCAGCGGGTTGCGTGTACGTGAATGACACCATTCGAGGTGGACTCTGTTACTATTCGTACTTCAATAACGGCATCAATGGCGCTTTCTGTCGCACTGAGGCTGGGCAGACGGCCGCTATCATTTTCCTGTTCTTCACCATGATCGTGTACTTGGTCGGAGCCATTGTGTGTCTGAAACTGTGGCGTCACGAGGCGGCTCGGCGACTACGAGAACGTAATGGGCAGGAGGTGAGATTGTTTATTTTGATTTCTATTTCTGTTGCATACTATATTCTAAACCAGTGTTATTTTAGTATCAAGATGAGTTATTTTTGTATTTTCATTTTTCATTTACATTTTACTTAAACTTTTAGTACATTTGTTTTGTTTTTGTCATTTTTATTGCTGTTTTTTTTCAATGTCTATATAGTTTTTTTAAATAATTTTTAGTTTTAGTTATTTTGGTACATCAAGTTAAACTAAATTAAAATGTGAGATGTTGCTTTTGCAACTAGTTGAAATAAAATAATGATATTTTATTATTTTATTATTAAAATGATTATATTTTATTTTGTTTCAGTTAATGCTTATTCTATTTCAAGTAACGAAAATCGTTACTATGTTCTAACCCTGCACTAAACAAAATATTTTCAGATTGGCTGTAATTTTGTGACATTGTGCAGCATTTTTGCTTTTTTGAACAGAAAAATCGCTGTAAAACCATGATGTCTTATCTTGTTAGAACATGTATGTTATTGCTGTTAATCATGATGTCGTTGCCAGTATCGTCATTTGTTCTAATAACTCTAATATAGTTGCAAAAATTAATAAAACAATAATTGATTCACCTCCACTTTTATGTTATAGATGCAGCCAAAAGATTCTCCTGCTGCTGTTCATTTGGCAAGTATTTTCTATTTTCTGTCTGTTCTCATGTTTACCCATGGTGCATTGCCATCTGCTATATGATGTGTTGCATGTAGCCTTTCACAGCATACTGGAAACCAATTTGGCGACTAATATAACAAAATATAATTCATATAATGCAATCATATTTAAATGCATGTTAATGCTGATGTTATTCAGTTATTTCTGAGGTAATTTACTTGCCTTCCTCCATGTTTGACAGCGACAAATAAGCACTTGTATGAAACCTTACAGAATAGAATGCTGCAGTATTGACTATTTCTATTTTTATAGGCCAACCTGGATGTTAGCATCACCCTGGTTTCCTTTGACAGAAACCCACTAGGATTTTTCAATTGGCTTTTGGATTATTGGGGAAAATAAGCTCTATGACTAACAAAAGTTTATGATTCTTCCATATTTTGTTCATCATGATAGCTTCACAAATAAGCACAACTTTTAAGAATTTTGAAGCCTAAATACAATCGCCAGAAGTAAACGGCTAAACATAGGCTATAAATGAATTACACCACAATCACATGACTTTCAGTCTTCATTTAAAAACATTTTCTCTGAAAGTTTGAGTTTGAATAGCTTGCAAAAGTGTGATTTATATCTGTAAAATCAGACTAGCGAGTAGATGAGTTTACCTGTTCAGCTTGTAGACATTTAATGTCCTGACAACCTCTGTAGTCCCATTTAGACACTTGTTAGCAACTGCCATTCTCAAGACTAGTAAAAGCTTTAAAAAAAAATCACAAGGGGGTATTACTGATGTTTTTTATGTTGTAAAATAAAATGTGAAAATATTGTGTTAACCACAGACTTAAATTCAGACGTTTAACCAAAAACCCATTCAAAAACCCATTGACTTCAGGACGATGGAACCAGAAGTACTAAGTGTGATTTATATCTGTAAAATCAGACTAGTGAGTAGATGAGTTTACCTGTTCAGCTTGTAGACATTTAATGTCCCGACAACCTCTGTAGTCCCATTTAGACACTTGTTAGCAACTGCCATTCTCAAGACTAGTAAAAGCTTAAAAAAAAAATCACAAGGGGGTATTACTGATGTTTTTTATGTTGTAAAATAAAATGTGAAAATATTGTGTTAACCACAGACTTAAATTCAGACGTTTAACCAAAAACCCATTCAAAAACCCATTGACTTCAGGACGATGGAACCAGAAGTACTAAAATGCAACTCGTTTCCGGGTTTTGGCCCCCAAAAATACACCATCCCTGCAGCACTCCATTAATAACCATAACTAAGGTGTGCGGGGCTTAGCAAAGGGTCAGTATGTGATTAAGTCAGAGAATATTCCTGGCAATTTTGCATCATCCTCTTTGCTCTAATAGGTTGTTGATGGTTCAAGGGAGCTGATGCCAGTCTCAGCGCCGGTACAGCACACTGCCACCCCTGCCGTCGCCAAGCCCAAAGTTGTGAAAGGGCATATTCTAGCTGGACACGCTCTAAAACCTGTGATCATGCCGGACTACATCGTGTCAGTATTTGCTTAAAAGAGAACTCACAAGAGGGTATTTTATGACCTTGAGATGCTTTTGCTCTGTGATTAAGCTCATTCTTGTGTTTTGTCTTTCCCTGCAGTAAATATCCAGCTATCCGAACGGATGAGCAGCGGGACCAGTATAAAGCCGTGTTTAATGACCAGTATTCTGAGTATAAAGAGCTGCATGTAGAAGTTCAAGCGATACTGAAGAAGTTTGATGAAATGGATGTGATGATGCAGAATTTACCGCAAAACCCCACCAGCCACATGGTCAGTTGAAAATCGCTTTTATTACTTTGCACATGCATATTCACATGCACATGCTCATATAAAAAACAAATATCAAGCACAAATCAACAAGAAGTATATGTGTGTGTTTTCATTTGGAATTATTTTATTTTTTGCAGTATGCTCCCTGTTACTATTATTAAACAAATGTTTTGACGCTTCAGCTTTAGAAATTGTGAATTTGCTGTTTTTAAAGATACTGCAATGCCACAGGACTTAATGCGTTTTATTTTTGCATTTTTAAGCAAAGGATTTTACCCTAAATGTTGTCATGTTATAAAAAAAAATCTCATATATCTAGTTGTCTTATAAACCCGGCATTGCATATTATGAATATTGTTGGCTCTTTTACACATTGCTTTTGTTCCTCTTTTATAGGTTGCTTTGGATAAAAGCGTCTGCTAAATGCATAAATGTAAATCATGAATTTCAGAAGAATAATTCTAGTCTACTGAAAAAATCTCTCATTTTTGATCATAGGAGCGTGATCGCATCAACAAAATCCTGCAGGAATATCAGTGGAAGAAGATGGTGAGTTATTGGCATCCATTCGACTAGTGGTTTAATAAAACGTATGACCGTAAAACTGTCTTTATTTAATTTTTAAAAAATTCCTTATGACAAAGGAATTTTTTTAATATTAGTGAAAAACCGATTAGGCCATTCTGTCACTTGCAGAATCATGCATAATCTAGTTGTAAAAAATAATGTGATTTTGTTCATTATACTTTTGTTTTAGGGTTTAATGTTGAAAACATTCCACATTAACATTAATGATGGGTCAGATGGGTTCTTGCAGTTTAAACCATGCACAAATGTACACTTAACAAACATTAATGTTGGTAATTTTGTTATACATTCATCTACCAAAAGTGTAGTACTCTCAGCTTCGTTTAACAGATATTACTATATTTAAATCCTTCTTCCAAAAAATCAGCACAGAAAATGTAAAAAAGTCTGCAGATTCTGTGTGGGCCTGTACACTGGTAGGTTTTGGAAGGAGGAAGGAAGGAGGATGAGGAAGGGGGCGGAGGCTGATTTTCCCACAAGATTCGTCTTTTCAAGAGCAGGAAATAACTGTAGTCACTCAAAACGTCAGTGGCTCCTCTATAAAGACAGTTTGAGCCATATTTTGAGCGATAGCACAGGAAAATGAACATGTCATGCCACAGTCAAGACATGCAGTTTTGTTTCTGTGATTTTCTAGCAATTCATGTGAGCTGCATTAAAGGAATAGTTCACCCAAAAAAATGAAAATGTCTTCACCCTCAGGCCATCCAAGATGTAGATGAGTTTGTTTCTTCATCAGATTTGGAGAAATGTAGCATTGCATCAGTGTCTCAGCAGTGGATGCTCTGCAGTGAATGGGTGCCGTCAGAATGAGAGTCCAAACAGCTGATAAACACATCACAATAATCCACAAGTAATCCACACCACTCCAGTCCATCAGTTAATGTCTTGTGAGGTTTGTTTGTAAGAAACAAATCCATCATTAAGACGTTTTATCTTCAAACCATTGTTTCCGGCTATCTCCTATATAGAGTCCTCTATTCATAATACTGCTTTCTCCAAAGAAAAAGTCAAAAGTCAAGAGAGAAATATGCACAGATCAAGCACCGTTTACAAGCTAAAACAGTTTCAAACAAATATGTAAGAGGACAACGGGGGATGGACTTTTTCACTGGAGGAAGCATTATTATGGATTATGGACTCATATTTTGGCCAGAAGCAATGGTTAGAAGTTAAAAACGTCTTAATGATGGATTTGTTTCTTACAAACACGCAACTTTTCTCTTCACAAGACATTGATGGACTGGAGTGGTGTGGATTATTGTGATGTTTTTATCAGCTGTTTGGACTCTCATTCTGACGGCACCCATTCACTGCAGAGCATCCATTGCTGAGCAAGTGATGCAATGCTACATTTCTCCAAATCTGTTCTCAGGAAGAAAAAAATAATCTACATCTTGGATGGCCTGAGAGTGAGTAAATAGTCATTTTTGGATAAAATATTCCTTTAAAAACTAGTTGTTCAGTTTGGTTGTAGAATGCAGTATAACCTATTTTAATCACTGTTTGTGGCCATTGAGATAATATTTAGTTCTCACTCTTCATTGTCTTATTTATGTCTATGATGGTGTTTTGTCCCAAGGATCCTTCATTTCTGGAGAAGAAGGAAAGATGTGAGTACCTGAAGAACAAACTCGCGCACATCAAGCAGAGGATTCACGAGTACGACAAAGTCATGGGCTGGAACGATGGTTACGGCTGAAACGGGTAGCACTAGATTCAATCCTTCATTTTCATGCTGGGATATTGTATTACACTGAACATGTGACCACTGTATCTGCAGAGCCATACTAGTCTGGATTTATGTTACAAACAGTAATCCAATGAGGGATCGATAACTTGCATGCTCTTAATGTACACGCTGATCCTTGAGCACTGACTGAAAATATTTTCTTTTTCATTTTGTATTTCACAATGCTGACTAAAAGTGCATGAATGTTTAAAGAAATACTCCATGTTCAGTTTGTGTAGGAATACAGAACTGCTGTTTTTTTATGCATTAATTCATTTTTCTGCTACTGTGTTGAAGTTCTATTTGATGTGAACAACAGCCTTGTCCTTATATGTTCAGTGTTGTAAATGCATTTTGATGAGTTGAATAGGTGATTTATATGCAAATACTGTAAAGAGTGAAAAGTCGAAGCATTTCATGCAAATTTGTTGTAACTGAAATAATCTTTGAATAAAAAAGTACGGTCAGGAAGCACTTCAGACACAACGGAGCATACGCTTCCTTTCCCTCCATCCCTCCATGGCTGATTGCAACGTAGACATAAAAATCTTAAGAACTTCCTTATTCACTAGAAACTTTCATTACCCCTCTTTTAAAGAAAGCATTTAGTTCTCCATCTCTATCAATTCTCCATTTCCGCCACTAACCGCAGCAGCCGTTTACAAGTGCAATTACATTGGAATAAAAAATACAAATAATGCAATTATAAAACTTGTGACATTTTACACTTTATTTCTCTGCTCAAACCTATGGCACGTTCTCACCATCTGGGGAACTATTTAAAGATTTTAGATTTTAAGATAAAGTTTGTAGAGTAGATTTTTTTTTGTAAGTACATTTTAAAATAAACTAATCTCTGTAACATAAATCTCACCACACCTCTGTGCGTGTTTCTTATCGCAGACTCATTCTTTTATCTCTAAGATATCTGTATCATGAAACCAGATGATCTCTTTATGGCTGTTTCAAAATCTAGTATGCGGTCTATCTAAACAGCATTTTTACGCACCATAGGCATCGAACCTTATTTTGAGGCATTTATAAAGGTAGATAATTGTCTACATAGGTATCAATTTGAAGCACATGAAGCTGTCTAGTTAGGGAGCTCGTTAGGATTTGAGCCACGCTCTCTCTCTCTCTGTGTGTATGTGTGGGCGTGTTTTGTGTGTGTGGGCGGGGTTTAATCATCTTAAGGGTAGGTTGTTTGTCTCACCTGAGCAGTGAACATCAGTGCGCGAGAACAACTCCGCAAACAGGTGAGACTGAAACTACTATATATATATATATATAGTCTATTATGTAATCCGTTCTGTAATCAAAATTATAGTATATATCAGTGTATATATCTGCGTTAATTATAAGATAATTGATGCCGACGGTCACAGAATTACTTCAGAAACAACTATTAAAATATTACATTTGTACACCGTGTTCGCTGAGTTTTACCCACTAACTGTCTTTTTGATTGCTTTCTGTTCAGTCGTAATGAGGTTGATAATATTGAAATTAGGTAAAATGCGTATGATACTCATTTTTATACTCCGTGTATTTATTGATATTCATGTTTTTGTCTCTTTTCAGAATGTCTTCGAGACCGAACGGGAGTCCTCCGCCCTATGATTATCATACAGAGGATGGATAGTAAGTGTTGAGTTTCACCTCAGTGTTTCTTTGGATTGTGTTACATGGGTTTAGATTTCTTTTAACCTCTTTTGCCTTTGTTTTTTTTGGAATTGAACTGCACAGCCAGAATGAACTGTCACTGTACAAATTAAATAAATATAGAATGGCTATTGGGTGGTGTGTGTTCCCATATTTATGTGACCAATATTGGTAGCGACCAATATTTGTTATTTTTTGGAGTGATTAGGCTGGTTTTATATATTATTTTCCTGTTACAAGTTTCAAAAGAACTGGGAATTCACTGATACTGATAGATAGCTGATTATTATATGTTATGGCTGAAAACCTACATGTTATAATAGTTGATAGTATATCTATCATATATGTGTTGCCTGTTTTTATACAATATAACACTCACACCAGCACACTTAGACACTACAAATTAAATTATACAATAAACTATTTAATATAAAAAGATTGATAGTGCTTTTGAAACCTGGTGTAGGAAAAATGACATGGTTTGAAATGTAAAAACACAACAACAAAAAAAGACAATACAGAACAATACTGATGTCTTGCATTCAAGATATCACACTAAGTGAAAATATATTGCCGTTTTAAACCATTTCTCCAAAAAGAAAAAAAAAACTAATATGATACAAGTATATTCACTGATATCTTGCATCCCTCATTCAAAGATTTGAGCTTTAGTGTGACTTGTTTTTATGTTATTGAAGTCAGAATGTATTGTGTCCTTAAAAAAAACTGTTTGGACCATTTTCTCTCCAGTAATGTTGCCCCGCAGCCGGCGTATTCGTACTATCCTGACGAGGAGTTCCAGCATTTCTACCGCTGGACGTCTCCGCCGGGCATCATAAAGATCATGAGCGTCATGTCAATCATCTTCTGCGTGGGCATCTTTGTATGCGTGGCCTCGACGCTGGCCTGGGATACGGATGCAGGAGCGGCTGGATTCGGTAGTTATGGAGGTTCTTATGGAGGAGGCTCATACGGCAGCTACGGTGGAGGAGGCTCATACGGCAGCTACGGTGGAGGTGGCTACGGAATGGGTGGATCTGGAGGTTACGGAGGCTACGGTTACGGGATCCTCGGCTCTCAGAACGACCCCAGGCAGGGGAAGGGTTTCATGATCGCCATGGCCATCATCACCTTCATCATTCTGCTCGTCATCTTCATCATGATCATCTCGCACCAGAAAGTGGCCCAGGCAAGGAAGTTCTACCTGGCCGTCATCATCATCAGCGCCATCATGGCTTTCCTCATGTTAGTTGCCACCATAGTCTATCTGGTGACGGTTTACCCAATGGCCCAATCGTCCGGATCCGTTCAGTTCAATCAGGTTTACGCCATGTGCGCCGCTTACCAGCAGCCTCAGATGACGGGTGGGTTCGTGAACCAGTATCTGTATCACTACTGCGTGGTGGATCCTCAGGAGGTGAGCACACATCGTGTAAATCCTGTAAATCTCAGGAGGTGAGCAGTAAATCGTGGTCAGTTTAAGTCATTGTGCTCTAACAGTGACCTCTTTGTTTCTCATCCAGGCAATCGCTCTTGTTTTGGGCTTCATTGTCACCGCGGCCCTCATCATCATCATGGTATTTGCCATTAAAACCCGTCAAAAGATCAATCATCACGGGAAGGACAACATCCTATGGCGTCATGTGAAAGAAATTGGCGATCAAAACTCGCCGCAGGATGTAGAGGATTGGGTGAGTTTGATATTATTGTTCTTTGCATTGTTAGTCCAAGTTTCATCTGTTCTCCAATGTTTCTCCTAAAATTCCTTGGGTGAGAAAATGTCTCAAACTAGTCAATATAGTTAGAGTAGGAGTAGACTGAAAAAAATGGTGTAGGATTTACAATTTTCCCTTAGAAACTGCTGGTAAATTTCACAAATAATTACAAGGAAATGGCATCACATTGAATTAAACATTTAAGTTTTGAAGTAGAAAGACAGAAATTATTTTCTTGTAAAACATACTCCGATAATCTTTGTTTTATTTACAACCTCAAAAAAATCATTAAAAAAAATATATATACAGTTTTTAGAATTGTGAGTGACTTTTGATTGCAGACATTTGTATCTTGGCAAATCTGAGCACGGTTTAAGACATTATTGAGATCTCTTCAGAAACTCTAGAAATTTGAAATTGGGCTAGATTCTCAAGAGGAAAAGCTGGGGAAATATCGGGGATATTGTGATCTCCAGCCCTGGAAAAGTCATAGAAATTCTTATAAATAATTCATTCATTCAAATAAATAAATAAATAAATCAGAAATCAGTAAACCAATTATAATAAAATTATTTTTAATCTTAAAAATATTAAAGTGTGTGTGTGTACCTGTTTTTCTATTCTGATGGGGACTTAAACCTGAATACACACAGACTCATGGGGACTCGTGTCACGGTGGGGACCTAAATTGAGGTCCCCACGGGTAAACAAGCTAATAAATCACACAGAATTAAGTTTTTTGAAAATCTGAAATAGCAGAAAGTTTCCTGTAAGGGGTAGGTTTAGGGGTAGGGTTGGTGTAGGGCAATAGAATATACGGTCTGTACAGTAGAAAAACCATTACGCCTATGGAGAGTCCCCACAAGGATAGCTGACCAGACGTGTGTGTGGGTGTGAGAAATTCAGCAGTTACCGAGTGAAAATTTTCCAACCAAATTTTTAAAGTGAAAGATCAAAAGGTGCAAAGCCCCTGAAAATCTGAGAAACTGAGTTCTCATTTGCTCCCCATTGAATGGTGTAGAAATGGCAATTATGATATTGAAGATCATTTGTGACTTTTAGTGATCACTCAACTATGAGCCTTTGTCCTAGAACTTGTAGTCGTCTACTGTGACTTGAAGAACTATAATTTGGTCTTTTCCATACAGAAGGTCTATTCTACTCGAGGTGAAGTTAAGATCAGCTTAGATTCTACACCTGTGCTCATTTCTGTTGCCAAACAAAGAGTTATTTGACTTCCTCCAGTCTCCATGTAGCATGAACCTGTTTATCTTTCAGAGGAATAGTCTGTGTGGTTTAACACGCTGAAGGTGGAAAGACCTGTTTTTGTGTGTGTGTGTGTGTGTGTGTGTGATGGTGGTTGGGGGAGGGAAGAGCTCGCCGTTGGTTTCTGGGTGTGGTTTGTTGTGACAGTTTCACTCACATATATGTGCTAGACATGTTAATGGTGCTTAACAGAGGCCTCATTTTCTTTGTGAAATCTGCTTTAACATTTTACTAAATCTTTTTCGTAGTTTGATTTTTGGGCCATTTTGGAAGATATTCGGTGGATCAATGTAAATAAATAGCTTTTTAGGGCATGTAGATGTATAATGTTGTAAATCTGATATTTTAAGATACGTTTTTATTAAAAGATGAATATTGGATCTGAATAGAACATCACGATATTTGGGTTTCTAAGCAAACATAGATATTTGTGTGTTTGCATTTTGTTTAATGCTCAAGGACGAACTGGTTCAACCAGAAACTCAAATCTATGTGCAGCAAAAGGGATTGTGTTTTCAGTACTATGGTTCATGTTAAATCAGGCTGCGATTCTATTAAAAAAATGGCTGGAAAATGTCTTTTACAGATCTTCTATAGTATTTGTTGACTCCCTCAGGATAGACACGTTGAAACATGTTTGCACCAAAGAATCCACCTCAAGCACTGAAAACTGAAACCACTGAAACCATTTGAGTGAATCTCACAGAAACTGTCCAGAAATGTTAACTTCACATGACACTTCTTAATTCTTTAGCAATCCCTCTGATGATATTAATAATGTCTTGTTCTTATTACTGTAATACTGGACAAAATAATGCAATTTGTAATGTGCAATTGTAAGTACACCTGTCATGGCAGTATTTGGTGTACTGAATTTAATTTATGCATAAAATATTTTTTACAGAAGTGATAATGTGTACTTGTATTTTTATTTATTTGTATTTTATTTTATTTTTAAATTATTATTTATATTTTTATTTATTATTTTATTTTCCCATTACAATAATGAGAATAACCAGAATTGTTCTTAATAGTCGTGATTGTCAATAGTGTCACAATGCAATCATATCTTAAGGCTCTCTCTCTTTTTCTCAGGTGAATGATGTGAATGGACCCCCCGAGCCGCTGCTGGCTGACTATCCCATGAAGGCTGGAGGGTCTAGAAATGATCTAGATGACAACAGCACAAATTATGACAAACCTCCTTACAGTGAAAGTCCTGTGTGAGTATGGCCCTCATCTCATCCGTGCGTTTCTGCATGTGACGTAGAGTTCGGCTTTGAACACAACGTACCTGATTCTGATCCGTTTTTAAAAAATCTGATTTTGGGACTGATTGTTCATACTGATGTTTTGAAAGTGTTGAAATCAGATCTGTGTGTTCAGACATTATACTCCGCGTATCTACATACTGGAATACAATTATTATTATTATTATTATTATTATTATTTAAAAAATAGCATAATGACAATAGAAGAAATATGATTGTGTAAATTTCTATTTAAAAATAGAAAATCTAATAAAAAAAATATAAAGTAATACAATTTTAGTAAGAAATTTAGTAAGTTAGTTAGTAGTTTAGTTACTTAGACATTTTTCCGTTTAAATTTTTTTCAAATCTATCTGCATTCATTTATTGTACTGTATTGTGGTACAACATTATTATTATTTTTATTATTATTAAAATAGCATAAAGACAAAGAATAGAAGAAATAATTATGATGTGTCCATTTGAATTTAAAAATATACAAATTATTTAAAAAAAAATACAAGTAAAACATTTTTTTAAAATCTTTTTATTTTATTAATTTTTTTCAAATCTATCTACATATATTTGTTGCATTTTATTGTGCTACAACTTATTAAAATTAGCATAAAGACAGTAGAAGGAATTAATATGAATTTCAAAAAATAAAGGTAATTATAAAAAATAGAATAACAAATTTTTTTTTAAACACAATTTTGCATTTTTTTTGTGTTTTTGTTTAAATGTATCTACATATATTAGTTGCCATCACTGTAAAAAAAAAAAAAAAAAAAAAGATTGCTGTGATTAATTATTACAACTTAAAACTCTACATTAGAATAAGTAATGTGTTTCAACTTAAAATAAATGTTGTGCTTGACTTAAAATTCTAAGTTTAGTTAACTTTAGTTTAGTTCATTATGATGCTGTCCTTCATCACCGTTTGATAGTTGTTCAGCATGACACTTGAAACTTTGTCAAATGAAAAATTCTGCAAGTTGCTTGAAAGGAAATGAAAGTGGACAGAGTTACAGAACAGGTCGTGCAGAAACCGCGTCATCAGACGTTACGTGAGATAAAGGGAGTTTACACATTCTTTCACTTCCTCGTTTCTGTGTTCCTCTCGGCTCTGAATCATTTCTGAAAATGATGTGCGTTCTGGAGACTCACTGTGACCATTGTGCCAGTTTAAACAGCATGACAAATACCTCAGCTATGCATACTTCATCTCAGAAGTAGCCTAGCACACAGTAGAAAGAATGATGACACAGTGGAGGAATGAAAACAAGGTCTCATGTAATCTGCCCTGCGTTGTGGTTATGAGCTAATTGCTTGTGTCTTTGTGCATTTGAAGTTTGCATGATTTATGGGTCAAATGTCTGCTCATGTTTGTGATGTTTAGGGAGATTGAGCACAATGTGCCCGTCCGTAGTTCAGTCCCGCTGAGCAGCGGATCAGAGATGAACAGCTCTGCAGGACGGCCCAAGAAACGGCGCGCTGGACGCCCGCGAACCACCGACGGACGGGATCACGACACGGACTACGCCTCCTCTGGAGATGAGCTGGACGACGATGACTTCTCCAGGTGAGTTCACTGCTCTGGGTTTATAAGCAGTGTTGGGGAAAGTTCCTTTTAAAAGTAATGCATTACAATATTGCGTTACTTCCTAAAAAAGTAACTAATTACGTTACTTAGTTACTTTTTATGGAAAGTAATGCGTTATATTACTTAAGGTACACTGGCGTTTGATATGAGATGCATGTGGTTTTGTTTTTCCAGTGAATTCCCTCCCATTATTAATAATGAAGAGAGAGAACATTACAAGCGCCTGTTTGACGAAGACCATCAGGAGTACAAGGAGCTCCAGGCAGAAATGGACCAGATCAACAAGCGTCTGGCTGAAGTGGACCGGGAGCTCGATGACCTGCAGGAGGGCAGTCCTCAGTTCCTGGTATGAAAAGATTCAGTGACGACTCCCAATAATTCTCATTACTGAGAATGAATAAGTACTGGAATATTGTCATTATTTATTATTCTTATTATTAAATTAGCATAAAGACAGTACAAGAAATATGATTATGAAGTGTAAATTAAAAAAAAGAAAAGTCCATTTCAATTCTAAAATAAAATTCAAGATAATAGTCCTCAGTTCCTGGTATGGAAGTCTTCTAGATTCAATGATAATTATCATGAATTGTCATTACTGAGAATTAACAAGTATCGGAATATTATCATTATTTTTTATTAGTATTGTAATAAAAGAATTATAAAAATAAATTTAAACAACAACATACTTCTACTACTAATTATTATTATTATTATTATTAAAATTAGCATAAGGAGTACAAGAAATATCATTGACTAATAATTTAATAAATTACATATTTAAATTCCTATTACTAAGAATTAGTAAGGACTGAAATACAAGTTTTATATTATTATTATTATTACTACTACTATTAAATAGTTAAAAAAAGTAATAATTTGTAATTATTATTAAATTAGTATTTATTATTATTGTTATTAATTGATATAACTTATTAAATATGTATTATTATTAAATTAGCATAAACACAGTACAAGAAACATTATTATGATGTGTAAATAAAAAATTACAATTTAAAATGATATTCCTCAGTTCCTGGCATGAAAAGTCTTCTAGATTAAATTTTAATTCTCATTAAGTACTGGATTATTATTATTACTATTAATTTCAAAACTCATCCTAATAATAATAACTTACTTAATATTACTTATCTAAATTATTATTAATATTATTTGTTTTACTCTCAGTATGCTAATTTGAATTATTCTAATGATTATAAAAATATAAATGTCAATTGAAATAAATGATTTTTTCCCCCTTTTTTTCGTTTTGGAAGATTCTCCCATTGTTGCATGACTCGTTTGCCTTCCGATGGAAAGTTCCTGTTGGTTACGCTGTGTTGTTGAATAATTAACGTTAGCATGAGTCACTGCGCTTGTTGCTGACTTCAGTCATTCTCTCGTAACAGGACGCCATGGACGAGTACAAATTGCAGCTTCAAAGAGCTCTACAAGATCCCAGCCGAGGAATAAGGCTCCTTTCTAGCGAAACGATCAGTCATTTTCTTTAAAAAATACAAACTTATATATATTTTAACCACAAATGCTCGTCTTGCACTAGCTCCACGATGCACTTCTATAAACTCACGCATGACGTAATCACGTTGGAAAGGTCGCGCACGGTTAGATCTTCGTCTGTGTACTCCGGTTGAAACTGCAGTTTGGACCTTCAGCCCGTTGGTCCCCATTGAAGTCCATTATATGGAGAACAATCCTGGAATGTTTTCCTCAAAAACCTTCATTTCTTCGCGACTGAAGACAGAAAGACTAGAGTAAATTATCAGGAAATTTTAATTCTGGAAGTGAACTACTCCTTTAATTTTGGTGCATCACTGAGTTTATATTTTGCATTAATATTCAAAACTTTAGATGCTTTTTGTTGCAGCCATTTCAAATGTTCATGTTCAACATTATATCAGAGCTGGTTTCTTCCAGTGTTAAGGCCCTTGGAAAAAGCCGTACCCAAGGTGCAGTCTTGAGTTTCACACCCTGTTAAACACACTTTATAGAGTCTCTACAGTTTGTCAGGACTCAATCATAGACTGTTTCTGTCCAGCCATGCTTTCAGTAGTGGGACGTTCCTGTCCATCCAGAGGATGTTCTGCTGGATTTTCTGCAGGGCCTGTTGAACGCTGCGGAGCCCAGAGCCCTGATCCTGTGCTAGTGACCCGAAGAAAGACTGAACCTACAACACAAACAAGTGCTCTTAGAGTTCTACTGACACCAATCAGCGCAAATGCAAACGCTTTTGTTTACATATGCCATTAACCTTTCACCCATGATTTATGTCAGCTCATGTGACCTCAACATGTTCACAACATGAACAAACTAACGAACTCTCACCGCATTTTGCCATCGGATTCTTTCCACTGCTGGAAGAGTCGAGTGGCGGTGCTGATGCAGGATGGGTAACGACGGACACAGGCAAACAACAGCAGATAATTCCTGAGCATCCGCTCGGATACAGACCCGTCATCAGACCAGCTCTGACGGTCAATCAGCGTCTTGAATATCTTCACTAAATGATTCTGTTAGAACAGCAAACTAATCGCGATTAATCGTTCTAGTACACCCCCAAAACAAAATCAAGACTTGAGCATAATAGGACCCCTTTAAGATCCAAAATATTACACACGTCATCTATAACTGGACGTAACCATGTTTGCAACCACAACCTTCAGCTGGTTCTCCAGTTCCTCCATGTTTCTCTTCTCCATGAGTTTGTAAAAGGGCACCAGCTCATTAAAGCCCTGCGTCACCGGCATGATCTCCGACTCTTTACTGAGGTACAAACTCAGATTCAGAGCTTTATCCAGCGGGACTTTCTCAATGCTGAAGGAAAGACAAACACATTTGATTAAGAACAAAAATAAACTGTCTGCAATGACAGCAACACAATTTTTAATTACCGAACGTCAATTTTAAATCAAGTCAAATCAAATCAAATCAAGTGTTGTTTGTGTTCAAATGCAGCAGTATTTTTCTCTTCACTCTTCCCTTTTCTCCATTTATGAAGTCTTTGCATCAGCTGGTGTTTTGGTGATTTTTAGCGGATGTATGAACTGAAGTCAGCTCTCCTCAAGTTCACACAGGTGTCTACAAGACTTATCACAAACTTCTTTTGTCAAATGTTGTGCTTGAAAGTGTTTCTGCATCTTTCTTTACCATAAATGACACTTGATTTGATACATTTTAATGCAATGACATTCAGACGATTTAAGTGTGACTTGCGTGACTAAATACTTTCTGTTTCTGCCCAATTAAATGCATATGGATAGTTTTCCACTGAATATTCTGTTTTACTCCAAAATATGTCATAATACAGGAAAGAAATGCACTGCAAGTGCTGTTTTATGTTCTCTTTAAAGAAATAGTTCACCCAAAAATTAAAATTAAACTTAAAATGTACTCACCTACAGGCCATCCAAGATGAGTTTGTTTCTTCATCAGATTTGGAGAAATGTAGCATTGCATCACTTGCTCACCAGTGGATCCTCTGCAGTGAATGGGTGCCGTCAGAATTAGAGTCCAAGACATTAACTGATGCACTGGAGTGGTGTGGATTACTTGTGGATTATTGTGATGTTTTTATCAGCTGTTTGGACTCTCATTCTGACGGCCCCCATTCACTGCAGAGGATCCACTGGTGAGCAAGTGATGCAATGCTACATTTCTCCAAATCTGATGAAGAAACAAACTCATCTACATCTTGGATGGCATGAGGGTGAGCAGATTTTCAGCAAATTTTCATTTTTGGGTGAACTGTTCCTTTAAGGAACACAAGTTCAGTTCCCTCACCTGACCAGCTGAAAGATGTCGTGGATCAGACTGGCTCTGTCGTTGCTGCTGAACACACTGTGGTTCTGCTGGAGTTGGTTGATCAAAGCATCCCAGCCTCTCGACTCATAATGTACAATATAATACCCCCGCAGGTCCACGTTGAATTTAATCCAGTCCACCTTCTCTGGCAGGTACAACACATCTGCAGACACAGTCAGATTTCAGCATAACAGAAGGTAAATATGTTGGGTTAGTTTAATATCTGATAGCGTGAGACACCTTTTTCACTTTTCAGCAAAAAACGCTGCACTGCACTACTGTGACTGGTGATGTAAGTCAGAGGAACCTGCCACAGGAAGCTTGATGTACTGCGAGAAATTAAATAGACAAACAACAAATATTAAATAATCAATTATTACTTTGAGTGAGTAATAAAACATTAAGTCTATATTGAGAGTAGCATACTAGCTTACTATATTTACTATGCATACTGTGCATAGTAGACACATTTTCTGTTTTCATAAAACCAGTGTAGTTATTGTTAACAAAATCCAAAACAATTTTTTAAAATTTAAACCTGAAATTAAAATATCAATATTAGATGAATAACTTAAACTTAAAAAAACGTATACAAAAACAGAAATATTGCCTTGGCAAATAACTGGGAAAAAAAAGTACTAAAACGATTAAACCTAAAACTAAAAAAACAAAATAATAAAAATAAATGAAACCTATATAGATTTAAATAAAAATAAAAAAAACCTAAGAGACTGAAAAAGTAAACTAAAAAAGAAAAAAAAACAAGAAAATATAAAAAGCTACTGTAATATTACTAAATACTACTAAAGTATACAAATAATACTAAAATATCTCTGTATTCCACAATGCAATGCAATCATCGTGACATTTTCAAGGTGAAAAATAAAACAAAAAAAAATATCACCTATGATTTTCTTCTATTATCTTCTTTTTTACTTCTTATTTTTTCAGAATGCCATATCATACAGTTATAAAAGCATAATAAAGTATGACACATTAACTGTTGCAGACTGTTTCACATACTATTTTTTAAATGTATAGTATGCATAGTACGCATCAAACAGTAGTTTAATATTCCATAGCTGGTCCGACATTTTCAAGGTGAAAAATAAAACAAAAAAAATATCACCTATGATTTTCTTCTATTATCTTCTTTTTTACTTCTTATTTTTTCAGAATGCCATATCATACAGTTATAAAAGCATAATAAAGTATGACACATTAACTGTTGCAGACTGTTTCACATACTATTTTTTAAATGTATAGTATGCATAGTACGCATCAAACAGTAGTTTAATATTCCATAGCCGGTACGTACTTTGTAGTCTTCGAAGTGTTTGCTTCTCTAAGGAAGCGCTCCTGTTTGAGGGTGACCTCTTGACCTTTGACCTCCACAGTGATTAAAGGAAACCCCTCCTGCAGCGTCCAGGTGTCCATAATGGCTCGAACATCAACACTATCCTCCATGAACCATTTCTGCCAGGTTTTTATGATTTAGTACATTCATTTGATCAGTTATTTGGTTTGTGGTTCATATCTAATATAAATGACACACATTTTTAGTGAAGAAATATGATTAAATTCTTGTAAATCTAGACTATACATTATTTTAATAGATTTAAATCAAATTAAAATATGAAAATGAAATGTAAAATGATTTCTTGCACTCACAGAGGCCGGAGATTTAGCCCTGAATTTGGAACAGAATCCATCATGTTTTAATCTCCCTGAATCCAATTCATCAGAAGTGCAGATCTGAAGAGATTGAAATGCATTTGGCCTCTAGAGCAATCGTTTAAATTACTTCAAGGACTGGAGAACATACACAGGAACCGGCAGAGGTCACTTACATTGGTAAGACTTTCCCAGAGGTGAGCGTTCACTGTGTTCTGGTAGCTGTGACTCTTCAGGTAGTGTATAATACCGGCCTTGAAAGCCTCTGGGGTCAGGAAATCCCTCAGCATGTTCAGGATACATGCTCCCTTCAGAGATTATGAAGAACAAGTAGAAATATTAAAACAAATTAACCCTTCTTTTGTGTTGAAAATATGGGTACTCCATTTGTGTTGGGGGTCAAATTGACCCCGACCGTTTCCATGCAATTCACCAAAAATCAACACTGTCATGCAAAAGCATAAAACCTCTATTGCACCTTATCAGAGACTAAAAAAAAAAAAATATGAGAAATTATGAACTTCTATTGTGTTTGGGGTCAATTTCACCCACATATTTTATGTTCAAAATTAGCTGCACAGACACAAAAGTGAAAATATTTCTATGATGGTTTTTTTGTCATGACTGCTTGCAGTGACTATTTGCACACTGAGTTACAAATGACTATAACTAAGTCTAAATTGTATCTAATAATAGTACTTATTGCTTTTTGTACTTGTGCAAATAGCCTCTGCCTTTATGTCTGGTTCTCAAAGCCTTGTGAGGGTAAAATGGATTTCTCGCGCTTTTTTTCAGTGATGCAACAGACTAGTAATAGAGATCCAAAAAAAAAACTAACAACCAAAAAACATAATTTCACTGATTTTTTTTGACTGAGAAACTCCTAGAACAGCAAATTCTCCCTGGATGATTCAGAAGACAATTTTCAATTTTTGAGTCTTGAATGCCATAAGTTATCATGTATTTCATATTTTAGTCTTTTTTACCTGACTCTTTGCTGTTTTACAAAGTGTTGATCTGATGGAAATAAATGGGGGTCCTAACACCACTGTCATCACCACAATTTGTACAGCCTTTCCAAAACACATCTATGTGACAAAACTTTGCATGCACACTCGTGACCCTGAATGAGAACTAGTCACCAAATTTCAAGAAGAAATAAAGAGTTTAACCAGCGGTTCAAGCCTTTTAAAAATCAAATGTGGGTCAAACTGTCCTGCAACACAATATTAATCAGGGCAACGTCAAATATAAGGATTCTAGAGAGAGATAAACCTTCCGGTAGGAAACGTCATCAAACATCTCGCTGATCTCCGCTGGATTCTCTACTGGAGTGGAAATGGGGTGTGAGGAGGTTAAAGAGTCCACAGACATGGCGGTGAAGCACTTCTCCAGGAAATAATCATCCTAAAATAGAGGCACTCGAAATCAGATCACTCATGCCATTTATAATTACATGTCATCACAATCTCAACTCTTAGCTGTATTAATCGCTCTCACCACTTGCAGCTCAGGGTGGGTGATGTTGACAGACACATACTCCATGAACTTGGCAAAGCCCTCGTTTAACCACAGGTCGTTCCACCACTGCATCGTGACCAGGTTTCCAAACCACTGCACAACAGATTCATGTGAA